AAAGCAGAACTTCCGCATGGACAGCGGTCCTTTGCTAACAAGTTGCCATCCTGTCTACCTGGCTAAGTACAACCTTCTTAGAGTAAACAGAGATGTTTTCTGGTGAGAACAGGAGCAGGAAGGAGGCAGCACACTGAGGAAGGAGACAGCAGAACCTGACAGAAACAGATAGAGAGGAGGAGGTGATACAGAGCTGACAGGACTCACAGGGCTCAAGTAAAATCCTAGCACCAGAGGAAAGATAAAATCACCCTAGATTATCTCAACTTGCCCAGCACACAAGGCCTCCTTATCTGGTGCAGCCATGAACCCCTCCCCCAAATTCGGTTTAAATTCCATGTGATGTATATTCAAGCCATTGTACCTCTTAATCCCTGAAGTTACTAAAGTAGGAATTACATGGAAGAACCAAAACTTGTCTAAAACTTGTCACTTATTCCTGCTGTGTTATGAAATAGCAGTGGCTTCCCTCCTCAGCCTAAAGAAGTCTGTGCTCGCTGCTGGGAGAAAAGTAGGTTCTGAGGCTGGAGGCAACTGTAACATACATGCACTATTCCAAATCAGATGCTATTTTAGAGGGAGGGTGGCTTTCTCCGTCAGCACTAAAGGGCCTGTTAATGCTATTCAGGATTAAAAACTGCTTCTTGAATCTAAAGAAGTTGGTTAACTTGGGGATTATGCAATAAAAAAAATTGCTCAGAATTTTTCATGTATTATGTAATCCATATCTATGTTAACTACAAAGATGTGCTAAGCAGGTTACAAAAATATGCAGATATACTAAGAATTTGGTTCTGTGACTCCCAGCCAAATTTGGCAGAGGCAATGGGCAGAACAAAGAGCAGCTGATGGCTACCATCTCACTCTGAATCTCATGCTCTTGCTGCCCTGGTTCTGGTCAGCGTCATTAATATTCCTGGTTCCAAGGTTTCAATTCACCAAAACTCAAAGCTAGGGAATCCATTACCAGTATACATGACAAGCTGTGGGCAGAACCTGATGTTAAAGACTTCCGAACCATTTCTCACCAAGTGCTTAAAAACTTTTATAGAGTCACCATGTCGGTGTATCTCAAGGAAGGGAGAATAAAAAGTCATAATGTAAAACTTAAGCACAATAGGTAAGACAGGGTCAAGAATTCATAGGGCAACAATTCTCTTGAAAGACGGATGATGGATGAGACAGTGAGAAAACACATTAAATGTTTGATGGTAAAAAGCAACCCCAGATGAATGACGGGGGAAAAAGAAGCCACCATTCTTGCTTTTCTGAGCTACACAATATGACATATAAATTAAGACAACTTAGAGAATGTTTAACTCGTTTATCCAGGGTAACAACTTGCTTTCCAATCCTTTCAAATACGCAAATGGATTTAATAACTAGTAAAGTACTTTTGTATCCTGTACTTTCTAAACATTTTAAACAAATGTCATTAAAACGCAAAGTTACTTGTTACACTTAGTTGGAAGAAAATCGACGGCACAATCAGCCACAGGAAATTCACATGACCTTCTCATAACTAGGAGAAATTCATATTTGTTTTCTTTTGTAAATTACAAGAACCTCCTTTAAATATAAAAGAGGTGAACATTCCAAGATGCACAGTATTTTCCAGATAACAAGTTTTGGGGATATTTACTTTCCTACTTAGAGTTTCACTTGCAAAGCCTTCTGACTCCCACTAATAAACTATGAGTTGGAGATGTCTTTCTTTCAGATAAAAAGTAGACGTGACTGTTTATTACCTGCTGTCAGTAAGTGTGTCTCCCCGGAGCCTTCAGAGAGGTCCTTTAGTGTTGACAGTTTTAAACTACAAAAACTGCTTGGCAGCATGCTGACTATAACCTCTTCTCCCCAAAGTATTCAAACTTGTTGATTCTCGGGGACTAAGCAGGGAAGCTCTGCTTTCACCCCTGTCCTGTGGAGCTGGAGACCCCGTTCTCAGCTACAGACTCTTTTCCTGGTTTTATTCCTTTGGTCGGACTCCGTGAGGTCTAAATATATCTCTTACTTTCATACAGGGGATGCAAGACCAAGTCGAGGTAGCAGACTGAAGACTGAGGTGGTATTTTGTTTGTTGGTTGGTCGGTTGGTTGGTTGGCTGGTTGGTTTCATCTCTTGGGAGTCCATACACATTTAAAATGGCACTTAGGCCAGGAACAAAATTAGCAGGTGAAATAATTTTGTTATAGAAAACAATTGCCATGCCAAAGGCTACCTCCTGGCCGACTGTGAGGATTAAAGCAGCTAGCCATTCTGTAAATGATTGGTGACTGAGAGTGCTGACTGCAGACAAAGTCACTGCTCACTCAGTGACTGTGGCAATCGCCCAAAGACCTCAAGCTTTGCCTAGCGAGTGAGATCTACGGTGTCAGTAATAGGACATAATTAACGAAGTGAGGATACAGACGGTGGATCGGATCATCGACTTTGGACAGTGTGACCTATATAAAGCAACTGTGGTAATTTCTCACCCACCAGTTCGTCGAGAGTGTCAACAAATTAAGGTCGGGCAAGAACAACAACAAAAACCAAAAAACAAAAACACAAACAAACAAACAAAAAAACAATGGTAGGATGCTTGTCTGCACCAGTTCTATCTCCTATCTCTTGCACTGACCAAAACCAAGCCAAACAAACAAAAGAACATAACTAGTGATTCCTCACACGTTTTTTCCGAAAGAGATCTATTGTTGTCTTTGGAAGTGGGGAAAGAGTCTTTCTCAGAAGCCTACAGAATGTCAGTCACAGGCTAGGGATGCACAGCGTTTGCTTGCGCAGTTTGTGCAAGACTTTGAGGTCAGCCCTCAGCTGAGGAAGACCAGCCACGCCCCCTCACCTGATCTCCCGCTGATCCATCCTTAAAGCTACTGTCAATTTACAACTGAAGAACTGCTAGAAGAAAGGGTTCCTGTATTTACTGAAACAGGACAGCACCATTTAAAAAGGAAGCCGTGCTCAGAAAACTGTACTCTCTTCTAGATTATAAACATAAATGAATGTAAATCCGGTTTTAGGCAGCATATTTGTGGCCACGGATTTACAGGGGCGGTTTTCCCACTGTCTTCAGATACTTTTTGTAGCTTCAAAAAGTGGGTCCTTTCTTCACAAAAAGTGCATTTTGAAACAAAGTTTTGCTTGTTCAAATTAAAATTAACCTAGGAGAAAGTGGAACAAGTGGATCTGTTCCATTCAATGAGGATTGAATAAAACATTTGGTAAAACATACACGGAAACTCTGTGGAGTATTTCAAATTATACTCTCTTAATTACTTAAAAAACACATTTTTTTTTGCATTTGGACACCTGAGTAAGCATACCAGAATCCATATGTTCTTGTGAATGAATGTTGAGAACCCTTTCTCCATTAATTACAAAATTTAGAATGGAATGAATGTGTATATGAAATCATTTTGTGAGTAGCTGAGCTATTCATGCTAATTTACACTTAGTATGACCAGTGAAAAGTCAACAGAGGTTACTATTACGTAATGTAACAGGCCTGAAAGTCAGTCACCAGCAACTTAATAATTCTTTAAAAACAACTTCTATGAATACAATCCCAAACCATCAAATCATGCAAACCACCAAATTCCCTTGAACTGTTATTTGTGTGGCGTTATTTACGTATTCGTGGTCACGTGACCCTATCTCCCACATTTCTGACTTCTCATAATTTTTCAGAAAGAGCAGCGTCCACGCTTCTGAGGCATATAAACATGTCGAGGGCACACCGAGCTTGCCTTAACTAGGGCCTGCTCTTCTCCCTGGATGCAAACAGCTTTTCCAGCAATTTAGTTTCTACACTCTGTGAATGAGACCGGTGTTAATAATTTCATTTGTTCCATTCTGTTAGTGGTCATTTCAAGTGAAAGGCCAGGACAGGTTCTAAACACGCTAAATTCTATAAAGCCATTAGCAATAAATTTGATCTGGCAGCTTGCTGGGACAATGGAAACTGCTGAAAGGCGTGTTAGTCATTCTGGACAAACCCACCGGGATTAAAAGAATGAGTTAAGATCGTCTAAGGACGCGGTAAGGAAAAAAAACAAAACCCAGTTGGCTCTCAGTTTCCCAATTGCTTGCCATGGCTGGTTTCAGCTCTACCTTTATTTAACTCAATTGCCCAAAGCCTTCCTCTTCCCAATTCCACTAGTTAGATTTTCTTCACTAAACATATAAATAAACCCAAGGTGCCCTCCTTTAGGTAAATTCCTGTTTATTTGTGAACTTCTTTATTTAGTTATCAACCCAGCGTTTATCAGCAAGCATGGCAGGATGCAAGCGTAGGCCTTGATTACTTTACACCTCAAGCGATCCAAACCCTGAAAGTAAAGAAAGTCCAAAGTTTGCGCTGTGGGCGAGGTCTCCCGCCAGCAAAGCCCCGCAGCACCACCCTGCCAGCAACTTTTCCTGAGAAGCCATGCTGACTTTGGGGGCAGGAGCCAGTCAGCTCGAAATGTCAAATCCCCGAGCTTACCCGCTGAGATCAAACTGCCCAGGTAGCCCAGTCCACCTGTTGAGGGAGGACGCTAGGAAGGAGGAGGGCGGGATAGGGTGGAGAGAAAAGGTATCAGAACCGGTGTCCACAAATGGCATCTGCACCCCAGTTCAGCCCGCTGCAGTGGGCCACCCAGAGCAGCACTCGTGCTGTGAAGGGCTCACAGGTGGGGACTGTGCTGGGTGCTGAGGCTGGCAATAGGGTTCTCTCCGGACTGAGGACCACCTGGAACCAAGGTTTCCCTGGACTGCAGTTTTGCGGGACTGAGGATCTCCTGGGCTGATGCTCTCCTGGCCTGAGGGTTCCCTAGACTGAGGATCCCCTGGGCCAAGCCTCCCCAAAATCCAGGCTCCAGGGCTGAGGCGTCCCTGGACTGAAGTTCCCGTGCTTCAGGGATCCCCTGAACTGAGGCTCTCCTTGGTCCAGGCTCTCCAGAGCTGCGGCTTTCCTGGACTGAAGCTCTCTTGAGGCGAGGTTCCCCTCGACCATAGCTCACCTGGGGCTGAGGGCTGGAAGGCACTGTCCCGCTCCCCCGGCGCCCTGGAAGGGGGCATCTGGAAGGCCCAGCGCGCACCAAAGGGTCCGGCCGGGCACAGCTTGAGCGGCACCGGGCTGGCAGGCAGCGGCCGAAGCTGCGGACACTCGGGACCCGGCGCTGGGCGCGGGGACGGGGGCGCGTGCGTGGGTCCGGCCCCTGCGCGCAGCAAGTTCTCGATCAGGAAACTCTTGCCCAGACTGCCAAAGCCGGGCGCGGGGAGTCCGAGGAGTGCCGAGGACGCCACCACATCCCAGTAAGCTCCGGCCTGGGCCGCCACAGCGCTGGGCAGCATGGTGCGCGCCTGCTGCCCGGGGAGCTGTGGGGGGCGAGTGCGCAGGGACAGGGAGAGGGTGCAGGCAGGATCGGAGCTGCCGGGTGCGTTCTTGGCCCTCAGCGGCTCCCCTGGCAGCGTCCGGGAACAGTCTGCAGATCCGGACAAGGTTTTCTCGACCGGGATGGAAGGTGTGTCCGGCCCATCCATTCATGTCATCCTGCCCACAAAGTGACAGATGCGGCCAACAATGAGGGCCGTGAGAGTCCGGGCTCTGGCGAGGGGAGGGGACTCTTGCTGAGGAGGTGGGCGTGGAGGGGACGGGAAAGGGGCGCTGCCACTCTGCCTGCCAAGCCTTGACCCTGCTCCTGGAGCCCCAGGACCTCTGGTATTGGTTATCATGAACTCCAGGGGACGTGAACTCGGTCTCTGAAGCCTGGTTGCCATCAGGGAGAATCAAAAACGTTGACATTAGTACCACAGATTAACTCTTTTGCAGGTTTTTATGGATGCTTCTGTTTTAAGAAGAAAGGAAATGTGTTTTTTCTTGGATTTTTTGCAAAAAAAAATCGTTTTTAGTGATTCATCTCAGGTTTTATAAGATCGTTTAAACGATTCTGGAGAAAGGTGGCCACACCTGCAGTCTAGAACAGATGATGTAATCCGTTTTGATTTATAAAGAACCTGAGCTTAGGGGCTGAAGAGGTGGCTCGGTGGTTAACTATGCTTGCTGCTCTTAACAGAGGACCTGAGTTCGAGTCCAGTTCCCAGCACCTAGCTCCCAACCCACTGTAACTCCAGCTCCAGGGGACTGGATGACCTCTTCTGGCCGCCACAGGCACCTACACCACAAGTGTACATGCCCGCAAAGAGACATTTTTGTTTTTAAATCATCTTATTCCCTAACTAATGTCAGTGGAAAACTGGGCAGACAAAAAGTATATGGGGGAGGGGTGAGAGAGAAAGAAGCAGGGAGGGAGGGAGGGAGGGAGGGAGGAACAGAGGACGGACAGAGAAAGAGAGAGAGAGAGAGAGAGAGAGAGAGAGAGAGAGAGAGAGAGAGAGAGAGAGAGGCGAGCCTTTAACTACAAGGCTTTAAAAACTTCTCGTTTTGGAAACTATCAATGGAGTGTTAAAACTGTGATTCCAATTAACACTTACTCTCCTTCCCTAATTTAAACAGACTTATTTAGGATAGGACTTCATTAGAGTTTCTGCAAAGTCGGAGTCAAATGCAGAGTTCTACTCCTTGCCCCTAAAAATAATCCGGGCTTGGTTTCAATTTTACTTAAATGCCTGTTTTGAGTTGCCAGGTTAGAAAGCTAATTTTCCTTTTAAGATTTCTTCTTTTGGGGACCATCAGGATGGTTCAGTGACTAAAAGCAGTTGCCACCAAGCCTGATGACCTAAGTGTTTGATCTCTGGAACTCATGTGGTTGGTGAGAACTGACTTCCAAACATTGTCCTCTGGCTTCCACACAAGTGCTATGGAACGCAGACACACACACACACACACAGGCACAATTTGTTGCTACTGTTTCAATTCATCTCAGTGAGTTGGCCACTTTATACTTTACTGACACCAATATTTACTATAAAGATTCCTTCTCAAAGATCACCTCCGGTAGTCAAATCCATGAAGTCGCTGCCATAGCTTTCTAACAGGATAGACAGCCTTATCACCATGGTAATTGAGCAAAATTATTTGCAAGGCTGATGTGTGCCATCAATATACATTCCCTTATTGATTTCACCAATAGACCTTCATCGAATATTTAATGTGTTGAAGGTCGTGGTTCTAGGAACATGTAGAAAAGATCTAGTCCTTGCACTGTAGGAACTTTCAGCCTAGTGGCAATAGAAAAGCAACGTCTGTGAGAGGATTTCACACTGGAAGGAGTATGTGAGGTAAAGCCTTCTGGAAGTCTTCCCAGAACGGAGTCTCCGACATAGCTACAGCAGTATTTGAAGGGAGCACGTGGAGTTGTAACTATTGAGATGAGTGGTGGAAGAGGTGGAAGAGAATAGATGACCGCTGTCATTCGTTTGTGATATCCTCCATTCCTTCCCAGTGGTTGCGCCAGGCACAGTAGCTTACGCTACCAACGTTAGCTCGTTTACAATATGTTCACACTACCATTGGGGTGGCGCTGTCGCTTAGCCCAGCATGGCCAGAATAGTACAGAGACAAAACTATACTGAGGCTGAGCGAAATCCCAAGTGAGGATTCTACAGCTTCATTCTTAACCATTTAGTTTGATTGTGTCCCTCTTCGTGAGCCTAGGGACCATGCTGGATGGTCACCTTTTCTTTGTGCAAGTGAGGATGAAAAGCAGGCCTTCCTTTTTCTTTAGTGGACAAAAACAAGGAAGATCTGAGTCAGGACTGACTGTTCACTCAGCTCACCACTGTTGGAGAAATCTAGATACAAAATGATAGAGAGTTTAATAACATTGGTGACAAGAAGAAAGGAATTCCAGAGACCCATGTGGCAAAAGTTGAGTCTATGACTGGAGCTCTGAATTAGGGCCAGATCCCTGCTCCCCAAAGGATATTCAGTAGTCTCTGGAGATTTAGAGGACTGATAGAACACGTGACAGGGACATGTCTCCTGGGGTTTTGTAAACAGAAGTGAGGGATTCTGCTAGACATCCTGCAGCCTAACTATTGAACTGTGCTAGCCTGGACTGTGGCTAGCTCCCACAGCACAGAACTGTCTGATCTGACAATTGTCAATGTCACAGCCAAGTGAGCTTGATTATAGAAGACAATGGGATTGGTAAGGTGGCTTCTGCTTTTATAATTTGGTGATTCAAAGACAACTTCCTTGCTAGCGGGGGGTGGGGGGTGACCTGCAGGACGGGGTCAAGTTTTACATTGGGACATTGATCTAAAATGTAGAGAGAGGTGTTCTAGTATCTGTAAAGTCTTCTTGGGTGAATCCATGGTGAGAAGAGAAGTCAAGAAGAAAATGCTGGAGAATGCCAACATTTGAAGAGACAGAGAGCCAAAATGAAACAATGAGCAATCCCGGAAATCAACGAGGACTTGAAGGTAGAAATCGTTACAGTGCAAACACATGAGAACTGTGCCTTCATGAATGGACAGACACTCATTATGAAAACACTAGAGGCTCCAAGTTCTCTCCCTACACCCCTCCACCCTCACTCTGCCATTCTGCCAAGGGATGGATGGCACAGGAAGGCTTTGGCAAGAAGGTTTTTGCTAGAACCTTGATATTAGACTTCCGTAGCCTCCTGTACTCTGAGAAATATATTTCTTTATTTGATAATTTACCAGGCAAGCTGTTCTGTTTAAAAAAAAAATCAGATAGGCTAAGTCAGAAAGTTAGAGACAATGATGTGAGTGAGGATGTTTAAACAGCAAAGGATGGGTGGCCTTGGTAAGGAATACGCTATATACAATATGTCTAGTGCCTTCCTTTATCAGAAAGATGGCCAGACACAGCGACCTGTCTCCCTTATAGGATGGGTGTTATCTGATGAAATCCAGGTAGACATGAATTTTTTTGCTGCCCTCTTGTCCACTTCAGATGTAGAGGTCTAGCTGAGGACCACCATGAGTCCCTAGGGGATGCTGATGCTGAAGGCAGAATTAGCCAAGCCCTCCATGTCCACAAAAGACCAATAAACAACTATGCCTATAGAGCAAGACCTTCAGGACCTTCGTAAAAAATAACTCTAATTGGATAGTGCTGTCAAGACTCAGGGATCTCTCTCCAAAGTGTACCCTTGAGTACTCTAATGTGCTCTTCCAAAAATGCCCCCTTCACACACACACACACACACACACCAGTTTGATTCTTAAAGACTTAAGCAGGAGCTTTTTCAAGAAAGTAGTTTGTTGAGAATTAACAGAAGGGAATAAAGGAGTAAGTAAATACAGAGGAGCAAACAAGAACTGATAAAGGGAAAATTACATTGTCTTCTTCCAGGGAGACACAGAGATCTACTCACCCCAAGCAGGGAACTCCCAACAGCCCAAAGACATGGTTTCATCCCAGTACAGCTGGGTGAACCAATGAATTTACCTGGGTCACTTTCAGAAGCATGAATGAGGAGTTACTTACAGGAGCATGAGCTGCTGACGGGAAGTCTGTCTCCTTGCCAACAACAATAAGTTAACTGCTTATATAGTCTCAGGGAAGAGTGGGGCTCTATGCTACTTGTGATACACTTAGTAGGACCACCTCATGAGCCCCCTGTGACTTGCCTTCTGAGATGAGGAAACGTGAGTCAATCCAATCTTGTGAGGATTTTGTGTGTGTAATCACAGCTGCTGAACCCAGGATGGCAATGGCCAGGTGGTGCCCCAACACAGGGAGTTCTGGAGCAGAAAGAAGAGACGAGCATCCGTGATGAGGGGGAAGAGGTTATTCTGAAGGGAACTGAAGTAAAGTCATGATGGAGTGTTTGAATAAGCAAGGACCTTGTCCTTAAGGGCTGAGAGAAAGCAGCATCCATGCTTCAAGGGGGACAATTTAAATTGAGGAAGAGCAAACACATCTTGCCCTTTCACGAGAGAATATGGGGAAACAGAGGAATTCAAAGAGGTTTGCTTGTGCCCTGCAGCTGCTATCTCCTTTGAACAAGCTGTGGAGAAGAGAGGGTCTTAGCTGAGAGCTGTGCTTGAAGCCACCTGCTCCTGGTGTTTCCTCTATGTAGTGAGTTGGTTTCCTTTAGAGTCCTAATTAATGCAGTTTGTTTGTTTTGTTTTGTTTTTTATCCATATCTTGTATTCTCCAGTGTTCTGCATCTAGGCCCAGTCATAAGATCTTTTCCTCGCAAGGATAAGAAGTAGAGTCTTGTAAAAGCACTTGGGAGCCTCTTCTTCCTCTCTTGGATTCCTGTGCTTTCTGGTAGAAGGGGATGAGGAAGAAGCTGAATTATTTCCAGATCTCAACTGATGATAGCTACCTGAGTCAGCAGCACATCCCAGAGCAACAGATCCAGCCAATGGACTCAAACCAATGAGAAAGAACCAATGATTACTGTTTTAAACCAGAGAGTTGGGGAAGGGTTGTTACTCAAACTGTACTGAACACTCAGGACAGTGGATTTTGCCTTCCTCGGGATCTGTTTCCTTATTGGTAATAATACATTTATCCCTCCCTCATTAAGCTGCTGCACTGTGTTTTGCTTTTAAAATTTTGCTCAATGATGCCACTATCAGTTGGATCAAATTACAGTCATGATTAA